GGGTTAGTATGATAGGTTATAAATACAGTTAGGATCAGAAGGTTTAAAAGGATAACTCCCTAGTTGGGTTATAGGTATGACATCTAGTGTAAAACCTGCAGACGGACTACTTAAATAGGTATCCAAAAGGTGCACGTGTGGCTAGTTGTATCTTCATTGTAACTGTAATAACTAATAATTACTAATAAAAGTCCCCAGGCAAAGGAGATCATCTTAATACCAAAAAAAAAAAAAAAAAAAAAGTTTTATATTATTTAAATTACTATATTTGAAATATTTTAATATAATTGAATTAGGTTGATTGTTTTTAATTAAATATAGAAAAAATGTATTTGTAACACCCTGTTACGTGACACCTGTTAATATCAGGATTAGAGTTAGGGTTAGTGTTAGGGTTAATGTTAGGTTAGATTTAAAGTTAATATTAAAATTAATACAAAATTGCAAGAGGGTTATTTTTCATTAGTATATTTAAAGCAAGTTTACTAGTAAAATTTTGTATTATAAAGGATTTTAGGTATAGGGTGTTACATAACAGGGTATTATGAATAGATTTATCCTTAAATATAATACAGTTTGATTTTTTCATTTTTAGTATAATTAATATAAAAATTTTGTTTTTTTGTTACTACTTTTATCAAACTAATTCACAATATAATTTATTTTAAATTATTTTAAAATTTTTATAGTAATATTTTGTAATTTATTTTATATATATTTTGTAATATTCTATGTAAAAGATTTCACATCAATTCATAATTATTTTGCATGTTTTCAGGCCATGATAACTTATGTAAGATTACTGATAATTTTTTGTGAGAATGCTACCTAAGTACACATATAAATAGAAAATTTTTTTCATTATTTGCACAATATTGTATACTTATCTTTCATCAATATTTAAAGTGCCGTGATTGGTTATTAGTTTATGTAAAGTTTAAAGTCGGTTTTATTTTTAATATATATGCTAAAATAAAAAATAACCTGATTCCAAACCCTAGTTTTTTATTTTATTTGAGCAATTTCATTGGCCAAAAAATCTATCACAACGAAATGGCCTAAATTATGCAACCTTATGTGATGCATAATGCCAGTACAGGTCAAATTATGTTGCAAAATCCTGGACAAATCATCTGCGATCATTGCGATCTTAAAAACCTGAAAGTGCAAAAAAAGTGCATAGTCATTATTTTGTTCCCGTAATAACGATAATGACTATCAAGGCTGTAGCCGTTCTTTGCGGTGACAACCCGAGTATCACTGTAAGCGGTACTATCATTTTCACTCAAAAAAACGAATATGCACCGACTCATGTAGATATTAATATAAAAGGATTAACGCCAGGACTACATGGGTTTCATATTCAGTAAGTGTTCAAAAAGACAACGGTTTCTGATACAAGTCATTATATTCTCGCTATAGTGAGATAATTGGTTCCATTCATAAAAATTTTTTAAAATTTCATATATCGAGATTTTGATTGGTCTCCACTATATATATCGCGAGTTATTATAACGAAAGTGACTTGTAGTCAAAAAAATTTAAACCTTAAATTCACATTCATGGTCAGACAATATTTATTCGAGTGAATAATAAGGATTTAATAAAAATTAGTGAGTTTGGCGACAACACAAATGGATGTACCTCTGCTGGTGGTCATTTCAACCCCTTTAACAAAACACACGGTGCTCCCGAGGATGAAAATCGGCATGTAGGCGACTTGGGCAATGTTAAAGCTTCGCGAGATGGAAACGTGAAAACTAAAATCATCGATAAATTACTCACGTTGGTTGGCCCCAATTCGATAATCGGGTAAGAATTCACAAGCTGAAGGTTATTCTTTAAAATAAACGCGTAATTTATGACAAAATTTCTATCTAAAAAGTCGAACCGTGATCGTTCATGCCGATGTTGACGATCTCGGTAAAGGTGGTCATGAACTTTCATCCACAACTGGCAATGCTGGTGCTCGTCTTGCTTGTGGTATCATTGGTATGTCACAATCAAAATTGTGATTAAATTGTATTTATCATGTTTATTCTTCACCCAAAAGCGAAAACAACACGTAGACAAACAAAGTGCAAATATCAATATGTACGGTCGATATAACGAACCCGTTCTATAATGATTTTTTTTAAAAAGAAAAAAAGTTATTATATAAAGTTCTGTATAGGAACAGTAAATTATCATGTAAGAACCATTTGAAAAATTTTTACTTGAAGAACAGTCAGTTATAGATAATTGACTGTATTCACATTGTATATAGTATAAAGTTATAATTTTTTTAATAAATGAACATTAAATTAATTTAATTACATTATTGAATGCCGGTTAAGCTGATAAATTTATCGGCTTAGGCCATTCTCAAGCATCTAAATCAATTGACTAAAGAATGATCGTGATGACGCTCAAGCATCACAATCAATGGCGATATTTATAGGATTAAATGCTTGAGCATACTCTTTTTCTATTTTTCATGATCTTCGCTATGTCACCTAAAACGTCTAAAAAATCCAATAAAAAATTTCTGTTCGACTGCCGAAGCTTCAGCTTCGGTTGTGTCGGCTTCTCCCTTTAATGATTTTACCAATATTAATCTTTTGTTGCAACAGCAACAACTTATGGAATCATTAGCGAAAGTTGCTTTGCAGCAAAAAGAAGTAAAAAAAATTTTCTTTTTTTTTTGAATGTTAATATATATTATATAAAGTATTGCTAATCTTAACCGGGGGTAATTTTCCCTGGGGGTGTTTGGAGGTGCTATATCTCAAAAACGTACTAAGTAAACGGGATCAGGTATCTTAAGTAAAAATGTTCAGGATCCCTGAAAACTTCATAAAAACTAAAATTAAAACCTTATATCTAATATATATTATATTATATAAAAAACTCCTATATATCCCAAAGCTGCACACCAACACTAAAAATATTAAGGGAAGTAATTTGCCCCAGGTTAAACATAGTAATTTTCATTATATAATACTGTATATATTTAATATTTAAAATTTTTTTTAGGCTATTTATAGTAATTTGGCTAGTACTTCTTCTGTTGAACAAGCTGCCTTAACTTCTTTTATTACCACTAATTCTAATATACCAATTAGTACTAATATATTATTAGAAGTTTGAGTTTATTGAGAAGGTTGAAAAGCATTAACAACTTTTACAAAAGTAAAAGATCTATAAGAAAAGAGAAGAATTTGAAATACAATTATTTTAAATATGCAATTATTCAGTATTGCTAATTTAGTTTTAAAAGAATACTTTAAAGTATTAATTTAGCAAAAGTAAAATATTTTTTTCAAAAATATTATGATGTTAAGGATTTTATAATATATATTGAAGAAGAATCTTTACAAAATAAATAAAATCCCAATTAATTATTTAAATTCTTCTTGATATTTTTAATAAACTCTATAATTAAATATAGAAACTTATTGTGCCAACTTTTTTTTTTAGAAAAAAATATTTTTAATTTTTCTTTTATATAATCTTTTTAACTTTTTTACTGCCTTTATACTAATATAAATACTTATTTATTTACAACTATTTATATTATACAATCTACTCAACCAATTTTACTCTGATTTTAATACTTGTTTACTTTTTTTTTTTTTTTTTTTTAAATATTAAGGTGATCATTTAGGCCTCTGGCATGTAGCTTTATTCAGATAGTTACGATGTTACATCAATTTCATGAGGATACAACTAGCTACACGTTTACTTTTAGTATCTAATTTAAGTAATCTGCCTGGGTTCTACACTAGCCGCCATACCTGCAACCTAACTAGAAGATTATCTATTTAAGCTCTCTGATTATTTTACTAACAAGAGTACAACTAGCTATACATGCAACTTTTGGTTACCTATTTAAGTAGTCTGCCCTAGGTTTTACACTAGCTGCCGTACCTGCACCCAACTATAGAGGATACCTATTTAAATCTTCTGGTCTATTTCTGTAACACGCTTACCCTAACACTCTTAATAAGATTAGCAATGCCATGGAATAACCTTAAGACTTTAGCCGCATGAGCATTTATCCTTGTAATAAACCTAACAGAGTGGTATATGTTCTATACATATACTTACCTGCATGTTCGGTAACTTTCTTCAACTAGTATATGTTGTGCTGCCACCACTGGGTTCGTATCTTAAGCTATCTTTTTGGATACGATCTGTATCTCAAGCCACAACCTTTCTAATTAGTTCCCACTTACGTACTCCTGCCCTTGCAAGGTTTACAACAACCCTAGTACCCATGTTCTAACTTTCTTTTTTTCTAGATTCCTTACTAGTCCCTCCCTTACTTCCAGCTGGCAACCCGGAAGAGTTGGTCTACTCAGGCTTTAGGTGCCTTACAGTCTCTCTCCCCTTGGTACATGCTTCTGGAGCACAAGTCCTTTTTCTTCAGTGGTGAGCCGGTAGTTCGGCTGGTGTGTTCCCCCTACTTAAGAACCTGGTTGCTCAGTTCTCCGGTCTTAGTCTCCGGTTTCAAATTCAGTCTTCCTGTAGCACTATCGAAGATCACTACTACTCCCAACTCAGAACTTGCCAAACAGGTTTTTAGTAATTCTGGTTTTCTGGATTTATTGTGCCAAAGCTTCTATTCAAGATGGTGTGATCAAGATTACAGATATCTGGATCCAACAAATAATCTTAACATTAACTAATACAGATCTAGTTTTTTTCAAAATCGTTGTCTATGGAATTCGAACTCTAGACTTGCTGTTTGGAAGTGTAACAACTCCACCACTTCACTAAGTCACCACACCCAATACTTGTTTACTTGCTAGACTTGCTAACTATAAATTTAATATATAGTCTATTAAATAAATTTAATATAGTATTTTTACTAATTTTATTCAAATCTAGATAAATCTTAATTACTCTAGTAGGTTTAGATTACAGATAAGTTAGTTTGAGCTTTTATTTTTATTTTTTTCAGTATTAAGATAACCTCTTTGGTCTGAAAATAGCTTTTATTTTTATATATAGTTTATATTTATTTATTTGAATATAAATTAAATTTTTGCAATGCACAAAGCAGACTCTAGATTCTTGAATAGCTATGAGAGCCGGGCATACAGTGAGCGATTTTGCAGAAAATCTTACACTTTTCTCAGGTACCAAGTCATCCCACTCTTCTAAGAAGACATGCTTTAACAATTTTCTTGACAAATACAAGTTACTACTTCTTCTACTTCTACAAACTCTCAAATCATTTCTTTATCACTTGCTTAAATATTCTTTCTTTCAACTCTACAAAATATTAGTTAATATTATT